ATACTATGGCTTTTGGCAGCCTGGTTTTGCATCATATGTGTTTTTCAGTAAAAGCCCCATTTTCCTACTTCCCCAACGTGTAATACGCGAAAAAACTTTGTTAATAATAACAAAAAATTGTAATAGTAAACAGTGTATTTTATTATAAAGGATTTTCGTTTTTCTACTGCTCCGTACTTCGTGTGCTCCGTGCTCCGTGTGCTCCGTACTCCGTGTGCTCCATGCTCCGTGTGCTCCGTGTGCTCCGTGTGCTCCGTGCTCCGTACTCCGTGCTCCGTGCTCCGTGTTTTACTAATAGCCCTTTCCAAAAGGTCATCTTGTCGAATCAACACCTCCTTTAGATCTTTATCCAGGCCATTGATAAACTGACATAATACATCCTCATTCTTTCTCTTATTATACAATGCCAATGCTCCTTCTTGCTTAAATCTTTCATTTTTGACCTCTGCACTTGCTCCTTCAGGAAAGGGGGACTATAAGCCCTTTCATATGCTAATCTCAGCTCTGATAGATAGGAATGCAATGTCTCTCCACTCTTCCTGCATCTGCCATTAAACTTGCCATTAAAGACTTTCTTGTATTTTAATAATGCAAGACCACCCTCATACCTTTCTTTCAACGCCCCGGAAAGTTCTTTATAACTCTTCCGTACAGATTCTTGTTGCTGGTGGTAAAAAGCCTTTGCATCATCAGTCATCATAAAGCCTGAAATTGGCCAGCCTTCTCGTCCGACCACTCGTTTACGGCCACGCAAATCTCGAAATCTCAAAGAAACTCGCGGATATCTTCCTCTCCAGAAAATTTCTTGTCTGGGAGAACAGTCTTTGTTGATCCCATGCTGCCACAAGTGTAAACTCACGCAATAAATCGTTATATATTTATTGAGAACAAAATAAAAACAGCAAAAACATATCTTTTGGAATCACACACAAAGCGCCAACACAACTACGTCCTAGTGCGCGTGTCCCAGTCATTACTCATTAGTTCCCAGTCCTTACAAGTGAGTTCTTTAATATAATAGTGAGTTCTTTAACTTTCGGTATAATATATCATTTATGGACCCGGGGCAAAGTATAATATATCATTTATGGACCCGGGGCATCACTTCGGGAAATATTACGCCGAATCCCCCTCGTTCCGGGTCTATAAATGATAAATATACAATATTTACGCTGCCCAACTTACAATTTTGCCCAAGTTGACGTTACACATATATACATTTTTCAAACAGCTTGTTGCACTGATTACTGTCAATACTGTGTGACATTGACATATATAGTAGATATTATAATATATCATATTTACATCAATATGTCAGGAAAATATCAATAACTCAATATATAGTTAAAAAAAATAACAAAAATATACAATTGTAAACAGTAAATATATACGATTGTGAACGTTTGCATGTCCAAACTTTATAAAAAAATCTCTTAAATCATGACTCTATAGCCTATACTCAATACCTACTACCTATATGTGCCCACAAAATAAAAAAAAATATTCAAGAGCCAGTGAACGACAGAAAAATATCGAGCAGCATTATAGGAGGTTTAATTAGGAAATTATTGGGCTCAATGAAAATCCACCTAATCAAATGGTCCGCCTCCAATCCAAAATATTTCCGTCAGTAAAGTCCATATATAATCGCATGCAATCGGCCATTTCAACGTGTGAACCTCTTAGGTTTATAATTAAAACGGGTACCTTATTTTCATTATAAAACAACAAGTCAGCACTATTTAAAGTAGGAAAATGCGGTCAGCAAGTGAATGTCATTTTTTTCTGCCTAACAGAAGCTCCAAAACTAAGACACATTTTTACAATATTTCCAAAAGTTTCCCGAGAAAGACGCCGTATAGCCATCATACATACGTATTGGATCATTTGACTAATCCTGATTAAAAAATTCCATTGCTAAAAATTCGAACGGGTGAAAACATATTCATTTCACAGATCTAAGGCTGGTATACTCTAAGTTGGAAAATTATTCACAAAATGTTACTAGAAAGCTAGATGCTCTAGCGGAAGAAATTTCAACGATAAAGGAGAATAAAGAAAATGCTGCTTACGGTATACTGATACTTGAGGAAACTGTTAATGACCTTAAGAAGGAAAAGTATGAACTTAACAGAGAGAATGAGGACTTAAAGGAGAAAAACAAGAACTTATTTCAATCTCTGTCTGAAGTAAGAGCTAAAGTTATAGAACTTCAAGACGAAAAATCGAGTCTCATAACTGCCCTGAAGCTAATTCAGCGAGAAACAGTATCACTAGCAGAAAAAAAGAACATTAAAGACCTGGAATCTGAGAACAAGAATCTAAGAGCTGCCGCAAGAACGCTATACAAGAAGACCTTGATAAGAGCAACAGAGAAAAGCGAGAATTCTCAAAAGTTAAAAAACGTAGAGTTAATGTATCCATAACACCAGATACAACTGTATCATATGAGTCAAAGAACCAGTTCGAAGTTCTCAGCGTTAGTGACCACGAAGAAGAAGTAAACAAATCTGCATCAGATCTGGATCAATCAGAGGCTAGACAACATAAAGACCCGGTACGAGACACAACTACAATATCTAAGGATGGAAAAACTTCTATTCATGAAGGTGGAAAATTTAAAGATGGCAAATTTCAACCTAATATCTTGCTAATTGGTGATTCAATGATTAAAGATATAAATCCACATCTTTCAAAAAGCTCAGTTCGTAAGTTAACATATCCAGGTAAAAGAGCAGAGGAAATTGCAAACGAGTTTCAATCGGCCCATGTCCACTCTCCTCCCACAGAAGTAATTATACACGCTGGTACTAACAACATAATCACCGACTCTAGCAAAGAATGCTTCGATAATATTCAGCTTCTAAGTTCCAGAATAAAGAGCACGTTTAAGGAAGCTAGAATCGCGATATCCAGCCTTATAACGAGAGAGGATATTGATGTAACATTAAAGACACAAAAAACGAATGAGTTATTAAAGGATCTATGCTCAAAAGAGGGCTATACCTATATTGAAAATGGGAACATAGATGCGACTTGCCTGAATGGGTCCAAGCTACATCTTAATGCGAAAGGTTCGGCGCTACTGGCTGTTCACTTCATTAAATTTATTAGAGGAACTAGCTCACGATCAAGTGATGGGGGTTTTCCGAAGGAACTTCGACAACTGGGAGAGCTGTTAAGGTTGATCATGCCCCAGACGTCAAAGAAGCGAACTCATCGATAAACAATACGATGCCTGACTCTGAAGGTAAAAAAGACTCTTATTTGCATAAAATTAAAAACTAAGGGGGCTGAAAATAGCAAGCTTAAATATTAATAGTCTCTTAAGACATGTTGATGAACTTCGACTGATGTTATCCGATTCTGAAATTAACGTTTTTGCTATAAACGAATCTAAAATTGATAATTCAGTAAAAGATAGTGAAATAAATATCCCAGGATATAATATGATTCGAAAAGATCGCAATAGATTTGGGGGTGGAGTGGTTGTTTATATTCGAGAGATATATTCCTGCTATGAGCGGAAGGATTTAAATTCAGATGATCTTGAAATGATTTGTATTGAGATTTGTAAACCACGAAGTAGGCCATTTCTCATTAGTGCATGGTACAGACCGCCCAACTCTGAGATGAAATTATTTGATTTCTTTGAAATATTTCTTAGTAAATGTGATGCTGAAAGTAAGGAGTTGATTGTTATTGGTGACATAAATTGTAATATGATTAAGACACCAAAAGACTCCAGTACCAAAAAGTTAATATTTCTGAGCACATTATATAACTTAGAGCAATTGATCAAGGAGCCAACTAGAGTCACAAGCACATCATCATCTTTAATTGATCTATTGTTCACCAATCAACCCAATAACATTTCCAATAGTGGTGTTATTGACTTGGGAAGATCACAGTTTAATTTTTGCAGTGAAAAAAGTGACCATGCCTAAATATAGGCAAACCCGTTCCAAAGTTAGAAATTTCAAAAGATTTGAATTTGAATTGAATTTTGAATTGAATTTGAATTTGAATGAATTTTTGAATTGAATTGAATTGAATTTATTACAAAATCTGAATGGCAGCTAAGAGCTGAATTGTACAGAGTTGACATTTAAAATACATGGTAAAACTAATACATATAGTAATATACGGTATATTAAAACTAAAATTTATATTACAATTAAAATGAATCATTATATGATACGATACTAGAAGGAATAAAACTTTTACTAAATCTTGTAGTCTTACAATTAATTAAGTTAATATGCTGATCGTTACGTAGATTGTCAGTACGTAAGTCCTCGCGTTTATTAGGGATAAGTTCATTCAATTTATTTTCCGGGTTGAGAAGTTTCTTAAAATAGGATTTACATAAATTATTTCGTCTTTGAGAGAGCAACGATAATTCATGAACGTCCAAGGCTTTGCGGTATGACAGGTCAGGACATATTATTCGTAGGGCTCGCTTCTGAATTCTTTCGATTTCTTCCTTTAAATAGTCAGGGGAGTTTAAGTTCCAAACCTGGCATGCATATTCAAGCACAGGTCGTATACATGTGGTATGGACTTGAATTAGAGAACTCCCTCCAAGACCGCTGCGTTTAAGCACTCGGAGAAAAAAAAGTCTCTTTGATGCCTTGTATACTATGTGTTCAACATGTAAGTTCCAACTAAGATCAGAAGAAAAGTACAGACCAAGAACCTTTGCTGATAAAACTGGGGACATACAGTGATCTTTAATAAACAATGGTCGAAGATTAGGGACGTCCTTAGCGAACGAGATAATTAGCTCTTTGTATTTAGAACGATTAAGCATCATATCATTTTCCGTGCACCATTGATCGATATTATTAATAACGGATTGCAGGTTACTTTGACAACCTTTACCGATTGTTTCGGAGAGACTAGTGTCATCAACATATTTCCATCTATCTTTGTGGTTAATAGCCAAATCGTTGACCATGATGAGAAAAAGTAATGGGCCAAGGATTGTACCTTGCGGGACGCCTCCATTTACCAAGGACCAATCAGAGAACGAAGAACCCAATTTCACCCTCTGTCTTCTTTGCATCAGGAAATCAATAACCCAG